ACATCGGATGACATATCGAGGTTCGACCAGCAATGACAAAGCTAGAAACCAGAGACGACGAGGCAGTAGGTGAACTCAATTCTTCATTCACTGCCCGCCACGGGCGCATTGCAAGGGCTGGGGGGGGGCTCTTGGAATCGGACGCTCAGTCGTACGTGTCGTCCTTGTTGATCTTGGCCACAAAAGTAGTGAGCCAGCTCGTCGCCGTCACGTCGGCTTTAGCTTGGCGGATCATCGTTTGAACATCCTCGGCGACGTTGTACGGGACCAAGCCGCCAGGTAACCCCAGCGATGACGAGTTGAGCACAGGTGGAACGAGCAGCTTGAGATAGAACGCCATGCGCGCAGATGGAGTCATCGCGGTGCCGTCCATGATGATCGGCGGCGACTTCTCTGTCGGGTCCACCGTTCGACTGTACTTGGACGTCCAGTGTAGCCCCGACGACACGGAGCCACATAGAGGAATCGCGGCAAGCGGACGAAAACGCATGCGACTTACTCGAAATGGGGCAAGGCAACGTCGGAAGCAGAGGGGGTCGGGGGGGGGCAAGTAGAAGCCGCACCGTGTGAAGCCCCCCTTTACTGCCATCGTCCTCTGCGAGCATGTGAAAGGGTCTGGTGGACTGCATGGTGCCGCCAAGAGAATCGTCCTAACGAACATTGTCCATGATGATGTGTACTCTCGTTCGAATCTGGGCATTGGGTCCACCGTCTCGATTTTCAACGACCTCGCCGTTGTGTGGTGGCTTCAAAGGTTTGACGGGAAATTTGCGACCTGCTTTGTTGGAGTCGATCTGGCAGGGCCTCAGCAATTCGGTCGAGGGCCGTCCTTTTGAACCTCCAGCAGCCCCACAACTGGCATCAACGAAGTAGACCGAGTCGCACGACTGACGAGACCGCATAACAGGACCGTCCATGTTACACTTGTCTTGCAGTCGTCGACTGTTTGTGACAGGACTTGGCGACAGAGCGCAGGAGCAGGCTGCGCCAGGATCTTGGACAGCTCTTCGACCACCGCCGCACGTGGTACAAAACTTCACGTTCCAAATGACGACGATTTGTACGAGCGTGTGCAAGCGGCGAACGTTGTCGATCTGCTTTCACACACGACTTGCATGTCGATGTGGCGAGGTTGACCGAATGGGTCGCGGGTTCCAGCACAATAACAGTCGTGGCCTCAATCCACGCTACCATGTTGGCCGCGGGGGCAAATTCCCGCGTGTAGAGGTCCTTTCTGTGCATGATCTCGGCGATTGATCTTAAAGAAAAGGAATGTTGTCGCCCAACGTGGGCGACACAATGGAGCAAGGAACAGTCGCCCATTCTCCAGCCATTCTCCGTCCCTGACCCGTCCATTCACTGTGCGCAATGTTTTACGATAGGACTGACCTCCGAATGTGGGCTAACATGACGATGTTGACCGTGGCAAGTCGGTCGGGGTCAGCCGTCGCCACTGGAGCTAGCCTCACACACCTCGCCTGGTTTGGTTTGCGCACGGTGCATCTGTGTGGTCGTCTCGCCCAGTCCGACAAGGTGCCGTGCACTCAGCAGGGACACAGTAGATGCCTCCATGGCGCTCTCTTCCATGCGCTGGCAAACGCACCGATCGGCCGATTCAATCTCGCGTCCAACTTGTGGCAGCGTGTGCTACTAGTGCAATGTTTAGTACTACTACTTGGTAACGTTATACTTTACTATGCAATCTAGATTAGTACCCTCTGTAGTACACATGGATGTTTTGACCGTCATGTTTGCAATTCCTGACGATCGGCACTCCACCCGCCTCGTCACAGCATGGCCATGACGGGGTTGAAGGTCCTGAGCTTCAGATGGATTCTCCTGGGATGCATCGGCGCCCTTGTCGTGTTTCAGTCAGTCGACGTGTTCCTGAGCTACAGAGCAGCCGCGTCGTCGGCGGCGCTGGCGACGCACCGACGGGCCTTTCGGCCGTTGAAGGCACCCGACGACAACGACCTCTTGCACATGAACCAGCTCATGACGGATTGCCTGACCAAAGGCGAAGCGATCATATCGTGGCGGTACATGCAGCCTCCGTTGTGGCGCGACTCGGCCGCGAAGGACGTGCTTGCCGAGATCCTGCGTTGCCCGGAAGCCGAGGTTTTTCTCCCCGTGGGGATTCGGTCACACGGGTACTGCGAAGATGCCATGGCGTACGTCAAATTCCTCGAAACCCGCGCGATGCCATACTGGGTATACGAGGAAGCATTCCACATCGACGGTTCGTCCATCCTGATGACGTCCTTGACCCCACATGGACGTGTGCCGAGCAGGCAAAGAGTACTCGTACCATGACCTGTGCCCCCATACCGCCGTGATCCTCATGAACCACTACTGGGACGGTCTTCCCGACCGCCACGACTTTCCCAAGACGAAGAAACTCGTGCTCATGCCCAACGTCGAAATGCACGACCTCAAGGCGGCGCACTACCATCGGGTCGACTACGTTTTAGCCAAAACCAAGGACTCGTACAAGCGCATTACGAACTGGTACATCTCGACATCATGTTGCCTGTTTGGTCACGGCATGCGGGCGAGGCGCATCGCGCCGTCTCCGAATCCGTTTGGCTGCGATGCAAGTCATAGCTGTTGTCTGGTTGAATGTGTTTGTGTGCTTCGAGGCCGTGGATGGACTTGTGCATATCGACGACGATCGAGTTTGCGTGTTTGGCTCTGCGTGCTTTGAGCGGAATGCGCGTTGACGTCGGGCGCCCCATGTAGGTACAGCCAAGAAGGCAACAACCCTCGCCACACGCAGGTCTACTTCACGATGCACACATCGAGCGACCCGACCGTGCTGACCAAGGAAGCGGCGCGAACGGACCCCGTCGCATTCACGCCGGCCGAGCGCAATTGGCACAACCTCACGATCTTCCATGCCAACGGACACAGCACACTGAAAAACACGATCGAAGTGCTCGACTGCTGGGCGAGTCGCCCCGATCTACCGCCGATCTCGATCTACTCGAGCGACGGCGGATCCAACGACACGTACTGGCGGCTCCACCGCGAGGGCAACCCACTGCGCCATGTCGACTACCACAGCGGGGAATTCGTGTCGCCGCCCGTGTACGGCAAACTCCTGCTCGAAACGTCCGTGATTATGTGTCCGAGCATCGCCGAAGGGTGCGGAGTCCTTGGTACAGCAGCTCCATGACATGGCTGGCTCTTGTAGATTTGGCCATTACATCAACCAAGCGCGGGCGTCCGGCGCGCTGGTTGTTACGACAGACGGCGCCCCGATGAATGAATTCATCGATGAATCGTCGGGGGTGCTGATCCAGGGCGTCACGTCGCGGGGCGACGTCCTCATGGGCACCGGGACCGAGTTTCACGTTGACCACAAACACATTTGCGCCACGATGGATCGGGTGCTTGCGCTGACGCCGTCCGAGCGCGCGGCGCGCGCCGCGGAAGGCCAACGGCGATACTTTGAACAAATGGCGTACTTTCGAACGGCGATGAAGTCGTTTCAGAAGCTGCTGCGTTGGCAACTGACGCCGCCTCGAAACGACACGTCATCGACGACGTAGGACGATGGAGCATTAATGACAGGATATGCTGACCGAATCGACGACGGCATGTCTCAAAAAAGGTTGCGGCGGGTGGTCCAGGTGCCCCCGCTTTGCCCACCGCTATGTGTCGTCTTGGAGGCAGAGGACGCCAGTTGGAGTTGCGCCGGCCGGCCAACCATCCAACGAGGCGCCAACGAGCCGCTGGCGCGTTGGCATGAACTAATGGAATGTTCCTAGAGCTGGCAACTCTATGGGACGACTGAAAAGCGCTTGCGACCTTTCGATAGGATGCCGCTACGTGTGTCCACAAGGTCATCTTGTACACTTGTTGGTCTTTGCACGATCGAAAGACCTTTTGCGTCGCCTTTGGCAGCCAACACGAAAGGACAGCGCTGACGATGGGCGCTAGCGATGCTTGGGGAAGGACTGGTTGGTTTGGCGTGCGTCGACGGCTGCAACGTACTCGTGAGTTGGTCGCCGCCCTTCTCCCCTCGATCGCGTTGTTAGCGCCGAGCGAAAACCCCTCTGTGGCTTGGCGAAGATCGTGCAACGCCGCAAAGTACGCGGCCTGGCGTCAAGGCACGTGTGTGTCGGAGGACCGTCGTCCTTGTCAATAATGTTAACATCCTATCACGAGATCTGCTACTACACCGCGACGGCATACCCGTCCCGACGTCGAGTGGGGCTGTCGTCGTCGGCCGGCGCGACACGGCTCAAGTTTCGTGTGGTCAGGAAGGCTTGCGCCATCACTTCGTTCCACTCGGCGACGGTGCGAGTGGATTTGTCGACTTTGGTCGCGACCGAGTGGTTGTACACGCACTGGACTCGGAGCTGGTCGTGAGTAAACATGTGCCGCGCGCGCCATCGCTGGAGCTTGCCGGACGTGGTTTTCGGCACCGACTTGGGCTGGATGAGGACAATGGTCGCAGCCTGAAGGTGGTTGTCGAACCAGATCTGGCGCCACACGGCGCGGCAGATGGACGCGACGATCGCCTGGCCGTTTGTGACTGTCTTCATGTCGTGCTTGAGCTCGGCGACAATGATCAGAGCTGGGTCGTGGCTGGTGCTGCCGTGAGACGATTCCACTGGCAGCGTAAAGCAGCTCACGCAGCCCGGTCGGATGTAGTCGCTGGCGCGCTCGACCGAGTCCTCAATCGTCTGGGGGCTCACCCATCGGTTGTCCATGGCAATCATGTCAGACATGCGCCCGACAAAAAAGAGTTCGCCGTCCAAAACCACGCCAAGGTCGTTCGTTCGGACGTAGTTGGTCGTGCGGTCGTCGCGCAATGTCGCATGGAGGCGTTCGCGAGTCAGGTCAGGACGATTCCAGTATTGCTGGGCCATGCTAGGTCCGTGAATCCAAATCTCACCGACGTGGCTTTCGGGCACCTCGTCCAGCGTGACTGGGTCGACGATGCGCAGGTCGTACGTCCGCCCAAAGTAGCCGAGGCCGGTGAAGTGGATGCACTGCCGGAAATGCGCCGAGCCGTGGACGTCGCTCGTTTTGTCGCCAAGCTCGGCCAACGTGCCGTTCGAGATCACTTGAAACCGGTGGTGTTCCTCCAAAATCGTGCGGTCCACGACGAGCGTCTTGGGTGGTCCCCGCTTGTCCGCGTCGGGATACCCCGTCACGACCAGGGTCGCTTCCGCCATCCCCAGCGCGCAGTTGAACTGACCCGCGTGAAAGTTGGCGCGTTTGAATTTGTCGGCAAACAGCGCGAGGAACTCGGGCTTGATCGGCTCTGCCCCGCACGCGGCATTCCGCAGCGACGTCAAGTCGAGCGATGCCGCGACCTCGTCGGACGTGCGCTTGGCAGCCAGCAAGTAGGCAAAGTTGGGGCCGCATGTGTATCCTGCCTTGTACTTGGACACCATGCGCATCCAAATCGACGGGTCTTTGATGAATGCGATCGGAGACATCTGGACCGACTTGTTGCCGACGTAAATTGGCATCAGGTTGAACGCCAAGAGGCCGTTGTCGTGGTACGGCGGCAGCCACCCGAGCTACCGAGAGAATCGTCAAAATCGGTTTGTCGAGTATTCGACCCACTCGACCAACGATCGCTCACGCAAACGGCACGAAAGAGACATGAAGCTTACCACGGTGTCGCCGCTGGCACACCAGTCCCACAGCAGCCCCTGCGCGTGGATATTGGAGTGCGTAACCATGACCTAGGCACCATCAGCTCCAGAAGAACGTGCCGGCTGGACGGCCTTACCGCGCGGGGATCTTCCGTCGACCCAGACGTGTACTGGAAAAACGCCACGTTGGACGGGTCGAGAGATGCCACGTACGACGCGTCGAATGCGGCTGCGGGCACGGTAACTTTGTCCGTTTTGAACCATTTGAGGTGCTCCGGCCACTTGGTGAGGTCGTCCTTGCGACCCGACCCCCTCGGCGACGATGGCGCGTCCGGCGAGGCATGCTTCTTTCCAATTGTTAAGAACGACTTGATCGCGCCGAGCTTGGCCATGTTTCTGTACTTGGAGTTGGTCAACACAATGTGTGCGTTCGTGTCGCGGACCATTACGTTGAAGCGAGGGAGGTCTTTTTGGAGGAAAAGTGGATGCGGCGGATACACGGCGACGGCAATCGCGCCAGCGTACAGACAGCCCCAGAACGCCACGGTAAAGTCGTGGCCGGGTGGGTAGCACAGAACGACGCGGTCGCCGGGTTGGAACTTGTGTTTGTGCTGCGTCTGCAAGAGCGCGGCGACTTGCTTGGCGCCCGCGTCCACCTCGGCGTACGTGAGTGTGCTCGTCTCTCGGCCCTTATCGTCCAAGAACGTGTACACGACGACGTGTGGCGTGTCCCGTGCGCGGCGCTGGAGGATCGCCACGATGTTGGTTTCATCAAACGTCCGGATGGCCCACGCGGGGTTGGTGTGGGAGGCATGGTGCTTCACCTTGGATGCTGCTGCGGCGCCCGTCGTCGTGGCTGGTATTGACGGCACCTTGATCGTCGACGACACAGACGACGACGACTCGGTCGAGGCGTCCGTGGTGACACCGCGTTGTTCGTGTACACGTCTGAAAAACTGTTTGAATCCGGCCATCGTCCCCTAGAAGAATGGCAAGTGCTCCGAGTGGTAAGTCGCTTCGTATCGGTCACGGCGTCCGTGCTGTCGCCGCGACTCTGGCCAAGTGAGTAACTCGCTGCATGGTCGCCAGATCCAGTCCTGTTGTCGTTGGAGGACTTTAACGCGTTTTAGTCGGGCGGGTCACCCTGTATTCGACGGGGGAATCACGGGGACGTCGACGGACCTCCGAGTGGACTCTGACTCGAACGACACCGATTCACGTGGTGGCGGGGGTGGCTTGTCCAGCGCCACCACTCTCGTGCTTGTGGTGGATGCCCGAGGTTGCGAGGTGGTGTGCCTGTGGGACATGTGGAGAAGTGCCGCGTTCCTTGGCACCAGCAGGTTCGTGTGATCAATCATTCGGGACGAGAGACCGCGCACGGCCGTGGCACGGAGTACGTAAGCAGGTCCTCCATGGACGAAGATGAAAGCGTGAAGGCAGTGTTGGGAGGGGGGAGGCATCGCATCGACCTCCATGTCGTGGGGCTTTCCTTTGTCGACACGAGAAAAACGCGTTTTTTACACAGATGAACGTTCTGCCATCGGACTGCGTATGCAGGGTGCACTTCAAGTACTGGGCAGTTTGTTGTCGAGCTCAAGTTGCTCGTGGGGCGTACGGCCTTGGTTGGGACTACGCTGTCGGCGCGTGCGATGTGGTCATGCTCTACGTGTGTACCAGCCGTGGCGACGGCACAGCGTCCAGACAATTGTACAGAACGCACTTGGTTTGGACTCTATCGGCAGTCTATCTGGGGACATCTCCCGCTTGCGGCGATAGAGCCACGGGACAATGGGGTTTCGCGCAATACTGAGCGGCCAAGTGCGTGCATCTCAAGTTCGTTGACAACTTACGGGCGAATCGAGCGACAAGTAAAGGACTCGACCGCGTTGACGAAACTTTGGATTGGGTGACCGAGGCCAGCAGCATGTTGCTGGTCGTCGTCCATACCGACACGATGCACGGGGTCGCGGCAGCCATGGCCTGGAACAACGACTCGTCCATGCGTGGCAGTCGCCGTGGCCATGGCCGAATGTAGCGAGAGGTTGGGCGCGTTCGGGCCCGAGGGACCACGGCTTACGAAAACAGTGGGAGCGCCATCTCTCGTGGGCATGGTGGACTCAAATCTGCATGGGTCTACTACTCGCACCCCGCCACCATTTTCCCTGGACATGACGATGAGCGTACAACGATGCGCCGTCTAGGCGGCCAACATCCCAAGCATGCAGCACGTCCTGAACAGTTGACGCGCCCACCCGCGCCGCCACGTTCCCACGACATCCCCGTTTGGACGTCAACTGCTCCCACTTCGTCGCCGACACGTGGGTGTTACACGGTATGGGGACGATGCGTTGCTTAAAGCGGTTAAATTCGCCAAAGACAAGCGGCCTCGAGAACATTGGGGGCCAAATGGGTCCCGACGCGACAACTCGTCGGGGGTGTCGTTAGCATGGTTTTGGCCTTTCTTTTTCCGGGGACGCGACACCACGGGGCCCGCATACCTGCAAGGACAGGCCTGATCTTGCGTGAATTGCCCGGTCTAGTCACCGCGTTGATTCGGGGGCATTGCTCGGGATCGAATGCAAGTCGTTGCCATGGGTCGAGATCCGAGCGGTTGGCGATGGGCGATACGACCTCTTGGCTTCGGCCCATGCTGCCATCTTCCGTTTGGCGTCTCGATGCTGCAAAAATAAGGCTGCGTACCCCCCGACGCACACGGGTTGGTGCGCCGTACAAACGGTCGAAACGCACGAAGAGGCCATCGCGACGACATGTCACCGCAGTTGCTCCATCTTTGGCTGGTCCTGTTACGTCGATTTCTGTGGCGCCTGCTCTTGAAACCAAGCGAGCCATCCCCGGTCTGGACCGATGGATGCCGCGCCAATACTACGACCAAGCACCGTCGAACGAAGGCTCGGCGCTGCATGGACGTCATGGGGGCGTTGGCTTCGTCTCCAGTACATTGAATGTATTGCATGGCCGTCGTGCCCATGTCCAAGCCCAACGACCTGTACTGGCCCAAGTGCAAGCGTCCTGGGTGTGACTTGGTCGATGGTTTCATCGATCGGATACAGACGAACATTACTTGTCGAGCTCGTCGTCCCCGACGCCATGATTCAAAAGCAGAGTGCGAGCATCTCATCCCTAGATGTGTTCGACGCGGGCATTTCGTGCCCACGAGCCACTACGTTTTCCCGTTCGCGAGTCTCGTCCTTGGCGCAATGGCGGCTACGGACATCCCGTACACTTCGACACACTGCTGCTGAGACGACCGTACTGACGGTGGAGTATCGCACTCCCGTGCTCGCGAACAGCGGTGCTTGACCTAGCGCACGGATAACGCCGCGCTGTTCTCGGAAACGAGGACTCAACTTGAATTGCATGGGCTTTACAAAACAGGACGACGTTCCGTGGGTACGTACCAGAGCGACGTGGTCGTCGGCATCGCGGAAACCATCGATCTCAAGGTGCCACCATGATGCCGTGGAATGACCAGCCCCCCATTCGATTGCTTCTCGACCGAGGAAGGCGACAACGGCCGGACATTCGAAGGTCGGTGGCAACAGAACGATGTGGCGAGTGTCTTGACCAGTCTGCTCCACTGTCATGGCGGACAGCAATACTCCTTTCAATAACGTCAAATTGTAGGGTATCAAGCAAGACGACGAAGTGAGCAAGCGCATGAATAAACAAAAACATTTCGATCAAGCGACCGACTCTGAACGTCAGGCGCTGACTGCCGCAGAGGGAGTGTCAGCAGGTCCGGCTCCGACGTGGAAGGCCAAGATGTTGCGAGCCGACGACCACCGGCTCGTGCTTGTTCCAGATCATGAGTCCACAATGTGTCATGTGTTTAGTTGTCCACTGTGAACTTTGCCAACGAAATTCTACTGCGCTACTGTTCTGCGTGGCAGAGCAGCCTGGATCGCCCGTGTGTTTGCCCCGCTGAGTTGGAAAATCCACTTGTGTGGATTTTTGCACCGAGCAGTCTGATTGGTTGCTCGTCTGCATACAATTACAAAGTTGACGCTCAAGGAGTACTGTACTTAGCCTGTGACGTGTTACGTCACTGAACGGTAGTCATTAGGGCAGGCCCCTCTTGAATACCAGTGTTTAACTTGCCTGTTGCCTCGAAAGGGTTCGCGGTCGGAAACCGCGTTGAACGAAGCACAACGATATCTTTGGTCAAGTTTGGTTCCATCCAAGCTTAGTCGACACTACGGGATGGTACGCAATGGTTCGTCGGAGGACGAAGCGTCCAACCGGGAAGAAGCCCGCTCGCGTTCGCGTGACCGCATAGAGGAGCCGCGTGGTCGTCAAGCCCGCCGCCAGGTGGCGATCCCTTTCCGATCCCCACGACGTCAACAGCCGCGTCCCGTTGACCACAGCGAGGTGGCACCGTGTATACCACCTTGTACCAAGAACCACCGGCCATGTATCCTTCCGCCGCGCCGACCGCAGCGGAAGATGCTGGTCCAATCGAGGGCGCCGACCAGCATGATGATGCTGAAACCGCTGGTCCGGACGTAACGGGTAGTTTCGCAAGCCTTATGGGCGATGTGGACATGGGAAGTGACGCGGGTTACGGCCGCGGTCAGGTGTGGAACGCGCCAGCTCTCCCGAAAGCTCCGACCTTCAAGGGCTCGACGAAAACAGAACGACGTGTTTTTATGCGCGAGTACCAGATGTACTTATCGCAAATTAACGCGATGCAATGTGTCGGTTCACGTCCGTTTGCTATGCTTGTCAGTGCGTGTATGGACCCGTTTTCCAAGCGGCGCATTGCCCTGTTCGATCTGAACAAGGATCACAATGCCGTTACGGAAGCAGAATGGATTGCGTGGTTCAACGC